CGTGAGGTGACTGTCGGTGGTTAGAACGCTGTGGTATGAGTATCAACCACCGCGGGAGGGAGCTGCGGAGTGTTGGCCTGCTGCATGGTGGGAGCTGTAGTCCCAGGAGGCCTGGCCTGCTGCATGGTGGGAGCTGTAGTCCCAGGAGGCCTGGCCTGCTGCATGGTGGGAGCTGTAGTCCCAGGAGGCAATGATGTTTACCGGAGTCGGGCCCTCTTCTTCCTGTTCGGGCCCCCACAAGTGGAGTAGAGCCAGGCAGTGGCGTCACAACGGGGTTGGGCCCGCACCCAGATGACACCATTGGAGGGGTGACACCAAAATGACTTACAGTCATTTTGGTGTCACCCCCCTCTGAAAAGTCGGGCGCTCGGTCATGGACCGGACGCCCAACAGTATCAGGAGGGGACCCGGCGGCATACCTTATCCTGCCGGGTGACTGTCCCCTCCTCTCTCTGCCGGCGTCCATCGCCAAGATGGCCGCCGGCAGGTATCAGAAGACTGCGGCGCGTGCGCGATGACGTCATTGCATACGCGCGTGGTGACGTCACGCGCATGTGCAGTGACGTATCGGCGGGGTGACACTCGGTTACCGCTCCGGGTGTCACCCAGCCTCGGGATGCCCCTGGCGCCAGGGCACAGTTGCACATGCAACGGCTGCGACTCTGGTAGTTCCACCAGTGCATTCAACATTACCAGGAGCGTCAAATGCCCGTGTTCCTTGCCATGCGCCATGGATCCTCCCCTCTTCCCTATGTCGCTGCTGAGCCTTATAGTGACACAGGGATCAGAGGAAGGAACCATGACGCAAAGCTTCCAACACTCCCGGATGTGTCAAATGCTGAGGAAGCTTATGGAGGCTTCAACTCTGGAATGGAGGGGGAAGTAGGAGCCACGGACCTCTGGGGAGGTCCCTGATCCCATTAGAGACCTGACAGGGTCCCTTTAAATTATAAAAGCCCCATTATAAGCACCACAAGCCAATTCAATATAAGTAATGACCTTACTGCAGGAGCGCTCCGGGACGAAGCCTCTCTCTAGCTTAGCTGACCCTCTGCCGCTTTGTGTCGGCTTACCATCACTTTATTCTCCCGATAATCAAAGTTGACGACTTCGCAGCCGGCGTAGCAGGGGGAGATGTACTCGATGCCGTCGGAGCCGCAGATGGGGTTGAACGCTGCCTCGGGACATCCACAATGGCTGCTGCATTCACTTACATTGTGCCACAATCCGCCACTGCAAGACAAAAGGGGGGACTCCAGGTTATTCCGGGAGCCAATCAACTGTCCCTAGCCAACATGTAGCAGCAGCAGAGCAGGGCGGTCAATAGGGGTGTACGGGCGGTATTGGAGGGAAAGTATACATATTGTAGGGAAAGTCCCCCACCCCCCTCCCCCCGGTCTGATTGGCTACCTGAGTTGCGGGTCAGCGTGCGTACTGGCAAACTGCTGCGTGGAACACCCGAGGAAGAGCAGCGGCAGAGCGGCCAGGATGCAGCACGACAAGCCCATGACGCACATTGCTCCGCACTGCCTGGGCGATAGCTGGAACCTCTTCATGATCACTCCACCCACAACGATGCCGGCCATGGCTCCCGGGATGTTCACAGAACCTGCGGAGAAGAAGAAGAGAAATAACAAGCTGCCAGATGAAGAGGATGTTCCAGAACTAGAGGGAGCACACCAGGGGCCATTGTACAGTGTGTGTGTAAGGGGGGGGGGGGGGGGGGGGGAAAAACAGACCTCAAAACAAAATATCAGGCAGCAGCAGTATAGTCAGCATTTAAAATGAACAAGGCTGTAATCAGACAGGAAGCTTCGGCTGTGGCCCTCCATCTGTAGCACCAATGTATTCCACAGACACTGACCCAGTCACATCAGTCTCTGTACAGAGGAGCTT